CCATCTGTGATTTCTGGTGATAACGTAGCAGTTGGCACCCTCTTTTATAAATATTATATACAAGGCCAGTCCAGTTTTTCTATTAGCTATTAAATCATCCTCTCGTAACTTTATCGATAAACAAATAGCTCGAAACAGAAGTAAAGTTGTCTACAAACAATCCTTTTATCGCTTAACCTTCGAATTTCCAAACTTTTTTTCGTAGTAAAACTTTTCATATATCATCATGCCACAAAAATCAAAAAGAAAATGTCGTGCAACGACGGCTGCAGGAAGAAGGTGGACAACTGAAACATTTGCACGATCCGATGACGACAGTGATGAACAAATTTCTATGAATTTGAGTAATTTGAGCGAAAATGATCAACAAAAATTTTCATTAAAGGACAAAATTAATATATCAGACATTGGTGATTTGTTTGAAATAGTTAAAAGTCAGACTTCTCTACGTTCATTATCAGTATTGATTTATTTATCGTTGATGTACTTTGGTGTGTCCTGGCGAAAAGCTGATTTATTTTTAAAACAAATTGGTTCACTCAGTGCTGAAACCTGTAACAAGTGGAGTGAAGTATTTATTGAAGGAGATTTGGATGATTTTCTAGAGGACAATAGAGGTAGTAAACGTGGTCAAAGCTTCTTCGACACCTTTCCTGAGTTGGAAAATATGGCTAAACTGTATACCTTAGAAGGCTGTACGAGGAAATCAGCATCATTTACTTCGTTAGAATTGGCTCAATATTTGAACGAACAATACTATGAGTTAACAGGAGAGGTGAGAAAGGCTGTTTTTTGCGGCTTAACTTGGAAAGTTTGGCGTCGCTAGACTCTCTTTATTTTGATAAGTGTTTGTCGTGAAGCAGAATTTTTGGAAAAAAAAGCAAGATATAATCTTTTACACTGTGTTATAGTTAACAAATTTAGTCTAGAGAGTGTGTGCGTTTTTCCCTTCACATAGCGTTTGTTTTTCTTTTCTATTTCATAGACTAAAACCACCAATAATCTGGTTAGACCAGAGGTAACCTGCCGTCTTGATCTTCGCCGTTGGGGATACAAGTTTGATAAGAATACTGCCAAGCCATATTGGATTGGACACGAGAGAGTTGATGTTGTGGAAGCTCGAAAAGTATTTGTTCAAAAGTTCTTAACCAACAAAGACAATTATTATTTGATTAGCGAAGGCGAAGATCCTCAGTGGATCATGCCAAAGAGTAGCCCTACAATTTTATTATGTGGGTGCTTAATCAGCTTCAGTCCTTCATCACCGTGATTTTCTTCTCTTTTCTCTGATTTAGTTCATGACGAATCCTGTTTCAGGAGTGGAGAGACAACAGCCAAACGCTGGGTCTTTTCAGAACAAACCACACCATTCTTTAGCAAAGGTCGTGGAAGATCACTTATGTTATCTGACTTCTTAGTCGCACACCCTGATGATCCCTTCTTTCAACTTTCCCACAGTGAGTGGGCAGCAGCAGTGAAAAAACATCCTGAATTGTTGGAGAAAGATCAGATTGATTATATTGAAAGATCTGCTTCAGCATCAGTTCAAGTGGGCTATGAAGCATACTTTGATAACGATGCAGTCATCAGTCAATTCACTCGTTTGTTCAAGATGTTACCATTCAAGAAAGCATATGAAAATCATTCCATTGATATTGTAGTTGACAACGCACGCACACACAGTGCTAAAGAATTTTCTCTAGAAGGATTCGGCATGAAACCTGGTACGCGTTGTGCCGTTGATCAAATACAATATATAGATGAAAAGGGACGACAGCAAATAGTTCATTGTTATTTTACCAGTGGTAAAGACAAAGGAAAATTCAAAGGACTACTTATCTTAGCGGAAGAACTAAACATCAAAGTACCTGCTAATGTTAAATTGGAAGAATTAAAACGATTATTAAGTTTACATAAAGCGTTTCAGAATGTAAGGCTATTTTCCTATTTATCCTCGTGTTCTCCTTCATTATTTCGTGTTTCGTTGCTTCATCATAATTTCTAGGTGTCCAAGTTGGAAAAAGTTGCAGAGCAGTATGGTGTCACAATAACATTCTCATCAAAGTTTCACTGTGAACTGAATAGCATAGAAGGTCTCTGGGCACACCAAAAACAGTATGTCAGGCAAAGAACTGATCAGACGTTCCCTACAATGGTGAAGCTGATCCAGAATTCCAGAATAAACTTCATCGAAAAGAATGTTGCAGTGAAGCTTTTCAGGAGATTTTGGCGGACATTAACAGCTTATGATCGAGGAGATTCGTATGAAGAAGTATTAAAAATGTATTTCAGTTCGTTATGCAAAGGTGCCATAAAACAACATCGTCAAATTACAAATTCAAACTTAGATGTCTAAGAACAGTGCTTACTTTGAAAGAACTATAGTTTTTCCATTTTTATTAGAAAAAAATTATATTCCCACTAAGTCATTGAGATGATAAAAACCATGAACACTGATAGTGTTTAAAGAGTTCAGTTGTCAACTATGTTCATACATTTAAGGTTAACATTTACAGATGA